TCTTTTCCTCTGCTTCATCCCATCTTTTCCTCTTGCAGCATGATAGGAAGCGGTGGGGAGGGAAGGAAAAGCAAACAGATTGGAAAATGCTGGAGAGGGGAAAGAAAGCAAGGCAAGGTCTGACTGTCACCTATGGAAAGTTTTGAGAGTTTTTGCACGTGGCTTTTAAAAGTTTGGCTATGTTATAATAGTTCTTTTTTCTGTACCTAGACAATCACTAAGAAGTTGCATCCATATGTATGATACTGTTTCAGCCACCTTTTGCTTTTGCTTCTTGCTTGTTCTTAGCAATTTTGAGTTTTTCTTTTGTCATCTGTCTAAGCCTTCTCTTTGTTTTTACTACAAGATTTGCCTTTTGGCATTCTCCCCTAACAACATTTCTGGTTTCAGTCCACAGTTCTTCATGTTTTATTTTATTTATTTATTAAAACATTTTTATGCCGCCCCATTCGCCAAAGCCTCATGGTCAACTGAGTTATTTAACGCAAATCTGTTCTTTATGTGGACTTTAAATTCCTCAAGAGTTTAAATTTTATTTTGGCACTTTGTTTCTGATAATTATCTTTTCACCTTTCATCTGATTTGTTCATACTAAGAGTTCATGGTCACTACCACAGTCTGTTCCTGGTCTTGCTTTGACAGCGAGAATACAGCTTCTCCATCGCTTACACCTACTTACATGGTCTTTTTGATTTCTCTATTGGTTATTTGGTGATGATTATGTGTACAATCATCTGGTTGGTTGCCTGAAGTATATATTTGTAATAAAAATGTTAGTTTCACAGAATTCTGTACAGGCAGTTCCCAGGTTACAAACAAGTTCTGTTCTTGAGAAAATAGAAATTCGTCTTTACGTTGAATTTGTATGTAAGTTGGATCGCATGTAGTCGGCCTGCCACATTCATGGAGTGGGGGCACAGAACCTCCATGAAAGTGGAAAAACTGCAAATATTTCTAGCTACTCCTCTCCGCCCAAACTCACCCTTGCCTTCACTTTGCAGCAAGGAAATGCCAGAGATGAGTGGTGCAGGAAGGAATGCTTTGGAGGCTCTTCCACGCTTGCATACAAGTTTTTGATTTCTTCCTCTTGGCTTCTACTGTTGGAACATAGACATGAGTGGTGGTTGTGTTTATAAGCTTTCTGAGGATTCTGATGGATGTTCTTTGGTCATGCATTGGATTACTGCCTGTGCTGCCCTTGCTTCAATACTTGAGCCATTCCATTTCTTTGGAGTTTGTCATTTCCAGAGTAAAACAGTTTGTATTTGTCTAACTGAAAATGTCTCATTCCTGTCCACTTTAGTTCACTTACACCAAATACTGTGATGTTTCATTGGCCTATGCCTTGCTTTACAGTTTCCATTTTGCCTTGCAAAGTTCACACTTACGTTCCATGTGCCAATTATATGTATTGAGCAACATCAGATTTCCCTTTTTCCTCTGTGCATGTCAACCACGTAGATCGAATGGATTATCAGGAAGTTTAGCAAGAGGATGAAAATAAAGTTCCTTTAGAAAATATTACCACAGTGACAATTTTTAGCCATTTGGAGAAAATGATTAGTTAAAATTATCTCTGTTGAGGTCATCTTTCTAGCTCAAACATACTGATTGCAACATGCCGTATTACCCTTCCCACAATTCTTGAAAATATAATTTTATTGTAGTTCCTTCTGTCTTGGAGAAAAGTAGTAGTTTGGAATCACATATCACTGCTGCATATAATGTTTTTACTTTGCAAGAAATAAAGGGCCCCTCCATCTATCTGTAAATGAAAAAGGGTATTCGATGCATTTGAATTTCAGGCGTAGGCTTCAACTAAATCCCTGGCAGGGTGTGCTTAGATTAAATTATCTCCAAGGAAAGCAGTATCTGTGTTCTGCAAGATCAAAACTTCTTGTTTTAGCAAAATATTTTTGTAGTATTTTGAATAGTTTGGCAAGAACTGGGGTAATACAGGCCAAGGAAGGACTATAGGTTAGAGGTGCTTGGTGAAATGGAATTAGGAGGAGCCACAACTACATCTGTTTCTCATTTTTATCACATTTTTATAGCTCAGTGCTACACATTATTTAGTGGTCATTCACTAATTTCAGTGAAATTCATAACTAGATTAGATAAATTTAAGATTGCAGCCTTAATTTACAAAATGCTTTGCAACCTTCATGTATACTTAATTCCCATTTTGCATAGAGGTTGAGACAGGGTGAATTGAGAAAGGCTGTGTTTGAGTTTATGGGGTGTTTGAGATACGAGTTAAATGACCCAAAGTTCAGATCTGTATGCAAGCTCTTACCTCTGCAGTCATAAAACAAGGACCTTAAGTATTGCACTAGAAGCTTTGCTCTAAGCAGTTTCTAGTTCTGAGCTGTCAACAGACATGAATTGTTTGTTTTCACATTTTTTCTTGGCAAATAAGGACAAGAAACTTGTATTAAAAGCCGATGTTCTAACCAAGAGACGGTAGTGTGGATGTCATGAAAATAATAGAGAAATGAAGCATCTCTGGGTTATCTGTGGCAGTAAAAGTGGATAGGCATGCACATTTGCATTGCATTTCCAACAATACACAGTTTATTAACTATGGGTCGTTGGTGACATAGGGACTGAGCCATTAATAACTTTCCAACTGATAACATTTTGGTGGTGCTGCAAATGGAAAGCATGTGGAAAGTTCCAGGTTCAGTCTGTGGCTGTTCAGTTAAAAAAAAAGCCATGCTACAAGAGCTGGAGAATCACTTCTGGTTTGAGAAGATGGTGTGAGGGCTAGATGGCACCTGCAAGTCAAAATCTAAAGCATTTGGGGATATACTGTCTGTCCATCCGAGGTTGAAAGCAGTGATCACCAGAGTGAGTGATATTGCCCCCCGGGACCTATGAAAAATCAAGAGGGGGCATGATTAGTTGTGTTAAATTTGCAGTACAGCAGTAGACCTAATAGAAAGAAAGAGACATGGGGGCTCTAGGGTTGTTGCCCAAGAGGAAAGGGGGTGGCAGCACAAAAAAAGTTTGGGGATCGTTGCTCTAAGGAATTTATAGAACAGATGAGTTCACCTGTGCTTTTGAGTATGTCTCTGTTCAATACACTTTAAAATTGGGCAGGGTTTACATGGCAGGAGGAAGGAACAATTAAGCCTAAATTGTTTGTTCTTTCCAGCTTCATGAACCGAGGTCTGAAGCTGTGATTTAGCCAAATGGCGTATTTCCCCAGTGTTTGAAAAGGGCAGGATTGAGGACAGGGTTGCTTCTGATACTATGTGGTTGGGTACGAGCATTAGCTGAGATAGTAAAAAATGGTCATTACCAGTGTAATTAGTTTCAGCCACTGTAATGTTCTGTGCAGAATTTTCCCTCTGATGGACAATTGTATATAGACTTAAGGCTCAGGAGAAAGATCCAAGCAGCCCATTAGTCCTGTGAATATTGGCGGCATGTCAGCTGTTCTGTTCTAAGGATGGCTTCATTTACCAATTTGGTGTGATGGGGCCCATTCAAGGATTAGAGGGTAGAAAACTTAACTGGTTTGTGCTTTCCATGTTGTGTCCTGGAAATTCTATAACAAGGAGCTCAATTTTGTTATCATTCAGAGGAGTGTAATCTCCAGTGAGCCTTAAGTTTGCACCATTGTTACAGGGAAATGCATTTAGCTCAGTCTTGCAAGAACACCTCAAGCAACTAGTATTTATAAAACAGATGTGAGTTAATTAGCCATGTAAATTGGCCCAGCTGTGCTCTCAAGGGGAATATCACAAATTTTGATGAGTAAGCAATCAAAACTATTACAATGGCAAGTGTGAAGAAATAGAACAAGAGAGCTCTTCCAGAAGATTCAAGAAATAAAAGGAAAATTCAAACCTAGATTAGGAATGCTGAAAGATAAACAGGAAGACATGCTATCTGTCCAGTAAAAAATAAAGAGAAGGTGGAAAGAGATAGTGGAAAATCTATACAGAAGGGATGCAGGAATGACAGATTCCTTTGAAGAGGAATCCTATGGGGAAGAACCTGCAAAATTAGAAAGCAAAGTGAAAGCTGCTCTGAAAACCCTTGGAAGGAATGAAGCACCCAAAGTAGACAGGATAAGGTAGAACTATTCTAAGCTGCAGAAACTGAATAAGTTCAAACCCTAACAAGAATATGTCAACAAATATGGAACACAAAGGACTGAGCCACAGGCTGGAAAAGTTCAATATTTGTTTGTTTGTTTGTTTGTTTGTTTGTTTGTTAGTTAAAACATTTTTATGCCACCCCAATAAGAAAGATGTTAAGGAACTCAGCAACTATAGGACCACTGCATTAATTTCCTATGCATGCAGGGTGATGCTAGAGGTGTTGCATGGAGTGCACCCTATATGGGATGAGAAATTCCTGATGTTCAAGCTAGATTCTGAAAAGGAAGAGGCACTTCAGATCATATGGCAGGGGAAAGAGCCAGGTGATGGCTGCAATCAGGGAAACAAAAGCTCCTAATGCCTCATTAAGAATAACAAGTTCAACTCAGAGATGGTTGTTGAAGTAATCTCAAGGAGAAAGATCCTCCATTGTCCTGATGGATATCCTATATTGTGGAGAAGAAGCTACTGTTAAGACAGAATATAAACAGTATGTTTTCCTATAGGCAAAGGTGTCAGAAAAGGGTGCATTTTATTTCCCTTTCTGTACAATCTGTCTCTTCCTACCCTCTTGAGTGAAGATGTACTTAACAGCTCAAAAACGGAAGGAAGGAAGGAAGGAAAACGCAGAAAAGTTAAGCAAATTTCAGTGCATTGGTATCCTTCTGAAGTTCAGTAAAAAAACATTGCTTCTTCCTCATCCCAGAAACATGTCAGTTACCAGTTAATTCAAACAAGCAAAGTAGAGTTGGGTGTGGGACTGCAATATAGCTAAATAAATAAATAGGGAGGTTTAAGTGTTAAATAATTGCTTGATCTTAATTTGCTTTGAACTAATTCCATTTTAGAAGGCATGTTTTGACTTGGAATTTCATTTTTTCCCCCTAGGTTTCTACAGCTGTCTGTAAGGATTATATCTGGTTTCAATATTCTCATCTTCAGCAGCCTCCTCTAAATTAGGATCTTCTTCTCTGGGATCAACGTTGAAGAGTACTCGTGGCTTTTACCCGCCTCCAGGTGGGTATATATTGTGTCATATGGCATAAAATTATTATGAATGGAAATCCCTAGTGTGGCTGGATGACAGCCTTTCTCAGTATGGAATCTAATAGGTTTTTGAATTGTTGTGTCTTTTGTCATATAACCAGTTCCCCTCAATATTCAATGTTTTGTGTTGTCTTGCAATGTAGAGCATGTTATCTTTTAACAAGCATCTGATGCTTCTAAATGATCTCTCTAAACTCCCCTCCTGCTTATTGCTTGGAATTAGAACTTTGTGGACATGTTCTGTGTCAGCACTGACTCACTTCCATTTCTGGCAAGTTTGAAACATCACATTATCAGAAAGGTGATTAGATCTTGTCTTTCTTGGATCTCTCAGATAATCATGCTGGAGCATCTGTTTCCATTTACCAGGTCTTCTACATGTAGGTTGTCTCTATTAGAATTGTTTCACTTCTGTTAGAGATACCTGATTCAAGTCCTTAATCTCAAGTTTTGGTCACACAGGTCAGCTTTTCCACTAGCCCAAATATGAGGGTGATTGTGATGGCCCATTCTATTATTAGCTCTTGCTGGAGCTATGTTATTTATTATTAATGTATTGGATTGGTATAAAAGCTGCCCATTAGCATCGCACTCTGCCGTTTGACCTACAATGGCTGCTGTAAACTTCATGCTCTCTTTGTTGTTCTTGGTAGTTGCCCACTATATTTGGGCCTTCCTCCTTGTCCAGCTGACTAGCAGTTGTTTCACAAACCAAAGTATGTTTTCAGACTGGGTACTTTTCAGAGTGGAAGAGACCTGGGTACTTCTCTTGCCTGACCTTTTGAATCCTTGTTGTTTCACTGATTCCCACTTAGTCAGAGGTGTTTTTTTAAAATATATTTCCTATTCCTGTGTTGGAAGTTCAGCTTTCCAGTATTCTTCTGGGGGTGATACTGCCATTCCCTTCCAGCTCACATTTTGAGTTGATTTGTTACCCTTCCTCCCAAGTAATTTATGAATTGGTGCTAATAATTTCATAATAAGGGTCAGGTATGGCATGGGTTGGCAGAAGATCTTCAGTCTATAATGCCATTGCTTAAGGAAGGGGACTGGTTCACCTCCATTATTTGAAGAATGCTTGTTTTCATATTGCCATAGCAACATTTGTCTCCTGAAGCCATCCGTGTTGTCATAACGCTACTGTACCAAGTAGGGCCTTCAAGTCGCAATCAACATGATGGCATGCCATGGAGATTTGCTGTTTGGACAGCTGCACACCCTCAGCTAGGAAGACTCTGGTGAGTTCCCTATGCTGGTTTGGGAGAAAAGCTGCCAGAGCCTCCATCTTCTGCCAAGAAGGCCTGGTACCTCCCCCATCATCACCTCATAATTTGATAAGTAGAGGCCCAGGCCCATCGCCAAGTAGATGCAGCACGCCATCACATCAAGCCGTCTTCCTCCCCTGTCTGTTGGTGTGGTACAGTCATGCTCTTGCCTACTCTGAGTCACCCATGTGTGTGATGCACAGAGACCACTGTGAAGAACTACAGATACAGGTATACAACCTGCATATCTCCAGATAATTTGTACTACAGTTCCCAGGAGACCCAGCTAGCATGGTCAGTAATCAGGAATGCTGAGAGTTGAAGTACAAGGTATCTGGACTTGTATTTTCTGCTGATCTCCTGAAGTGTAAGGATCAAGTAACAATTCTAGCTATATCATTTTTATTCATAGAATCATAGAATAGTAGAATTGGAAGGGGCCATGAAGGCCATCGCGTCCAACCTCCTGCTGTTGCAGGATACCATGTTACACTATCCCATTCAGATGGCTGTCCAGTTTTTTTTTCCAATGTCGCTAGTTGGGAGAGCCCACCACTTCTCTAGGCAGCTGGTTCCACTGTCCTATTGCTCTGACAGTGAGGATCTTTTCCTGATGTCCAGCCTGAATCTGGGTTGTCACAGCTTGACTTGATCATTCCTGGTCCTGCGCTCTGACTTCAGCAAGAAGAGATCTTCGTGACAGCCTTTGAGGTACTATAGAGGGATGTCATGTCCCCCCTCAGTCTTCTCTTCTCAAGGCTGAACATGCCCAGTTCTCTCAGTCTCTCCTCACAGGGTAGTGTTTCCAAACCCTGAATCAATTTTGTTGCCCTCCTCTGGACTCTTTCTAATTTTTCTGTATCTTTAAACCTTGGTGCCCAGAACTAGACACAATATTCCAGATGAGTTCTGTCTAGTCAGGAATATAGCGGAACTACTATGTCTCGTTATTTGGAAGTAATTTCTGTTAATGCATCCCAAAATAGCACTTGCCCTTTTGGTGGTTGTACCACATTGTTGGCTCATGTTTAGGCTATTGTCCACAATTACTCTTGAGATTTTTTCTCCCAGTTCTGTATTCCCCATCTTGTATCGATTCATTTGGTTTCTTTTTCTTAGGTGGAGGACTTGGCACTCATTGACTCTCATTCTGTTGCTTTCAGTAGATCGCCCTGGGTCTAGGGTGTTTGCTATTCCATCCAGTTTTCTATCATCTGCAAATTGGGTTATCTTTCCTTATACATCCTCACCTAAATCATTAATAAAGATGTTGAAGAGCACTGGGTCCAGGAATGAACCCTGTGGTAACTTCTAGGACTGTCATCTGATTCAAGAAAGCTTAGTCAATTAGATGGGTAAGTTGGTTAGTAGTTTTATTTACAAATTGAATCTGCATATATTTGCCTGCTATTCATTAGAAAAACCATACTATTGTTTTTAGCTGGTGTTTTAACAAACACAGTCTTAACAAAGGCATTCCATTTGGTGTCTGTATAAAGATGCAATGCCTTTTCTAAGTTGGCACCAAATGCCTACAGTTTTTCTATACTAGGGTGCAGAACTAAGGGCCACATTCCAGTGGTGAGTGGGGCCAAAGTGGGATCATCTTGGCTGGGTTTGATAGAAGCTGAGATTCAAAGCATCTAGAGCATACTAGGTTGGGGAAGACTGGTTTATAAAACACCATATTTATAGGGAGTTGTTTCATTGTTTTTTGTTTTATAAATCCAGTTTTTGAGTTGTGTCTTTGGTCGTATTGGGTAAGTATGGTTATGAAATAAACTAGGTCAGGTCTATGCAGAAAAACACAGGTTTTAGTAAATCTTAATTTCCGTTCTGCCTAGCTTGAATTCTCTCTTGCTTAAGTGAAAGAGAGGCCTGTTTGTGCTTGTTATACATTTGGAATCTCTTCTGCAATAGATGTGGGGGCAGCATCTTCGTGTAGGGATGCAATCTTAACAGTTGCATGGTCATAGAATGTTATGCTCTCCAGTTGGCTGGTCATGATGACCAGATGATTGTTTTTCCCTTTGACTATCAATTAGAGGTTGAAGTAATGTTTTCGAGAGAATCTGGGATGAGAGATGCCAGAGGAGAGAGATATGAAATGCACGAAGCGGTAGGAAAGGGGCAAAACACCAAAACTAGGTTGGTAAATTAAAGGCCAGATCACATTATACAAAAGGTGTAGACACTGTACCCCAACGCTTTTGCTAAACATTTTGTTTGAAAATATAAAGCATGTGCCTCAAATCCTTCACGGATAACAGCTGCAATTTCCTCATGAAAATTCATGGGGACATTTTTAATCTACAGTACTCAGGAGAACTGCCATAGCTTTGTTAGAATCTGCGAAAGCATAAGAAATAATCACTTCCTTCAGGGGTGTAACAGAGACACCAACAGATCTACAAAGCAGAATCTAGCTCACAGAATGGAAAATAAAGATAATACCGTCCATCATGCACAAAGGCAGGTTTTTGTGGGCCCAAATCCAGAACCCAGCCTTGTTTACAAGGGATGCTAATAAAAACAAGCCACAGTGGAGACAAGCCGCATCTTCATTGCTCTTACTCATGTCTCCAGATTCATTTCAAAGACAGTTGTGTTCACTGGAAATAAGGCAGTGTTGAAATAGGGAAAAATGAACTAAGCACCCATGTCTTGCCAGCATTAAACTTGAGTTACTCATTGAGCACAAATTAAGACAACATATATTTGAAGGAGACCGCTGTCAGATGTCTCTTACTATTTGCAAGAGAGATAGGAAATGATCTCTCCTATCTCTGTGTATTCTCAGACCTTCAGCCTGGGACAAGTTCACCTGCTCTTATATCCCATGTTTGTTCCTTTCTAGTCCCCTGCCCCTCCCCATGCCTGGATCAGCTTCCCCTTCTTTATTCTTGAAGCCAACTCCTCTTTCTTCAGGTGCTTCCTTATAACTCATTCATTTGCAAGGCATTTCCAGGTTCACTATAGGCTCATCTTGCTAGCCAGGTCTGCTAAAACTCTCTTGCCTCCAAATGCTATGTAGTGAAATAGCTTTATTAGGCTTATTCAAATGTTTCACAAAATGTGCCAGCTTTTCAAGGCTTTCAGATTTCTTCAGGCAAGATATTACAAAAAAAATGCCATTTACGTGACTTTTGAGCTTGCCTGACCTTTGGCTTGGTTTTGAGTTCACCTAATAAAGGCATTATGCTACAGATTTTTTAATTTTTCTTGTGGCCAGCATAGCCAGCTGCCTTTGTTTTGTGTACTGCTTTCCTTTATCCCTTCTCAGTGACAAATTTCCCCTTACATAGTGCTTGACAAGGACTTAATATACACAGAGGCACTCACTGAAGTGCAAAGCCAGGATTGCCTTTTAAGAAAAGATACCTTGTGTGTGTGTATAAATATCTCTGTGTGTATAAATATCTAGGCACGTACAAATGAGCTGAAAGAAATGGAATTCCTTGCTCTGTCCTCCCCACAACAGCTTTTCCAGCTCCTCTGACAAAACTACAGAAAGTTTGAAGACCCAGCTTAATAAAGTGAGCTGTGATGCTGGGGAAGAGCAAACCCGCACCTTCCATAAACAGAGACCTCCTGTCCACAGAAGGCAGATCCTGAATCCAACCCATAAATATGCACTGCACGTACTGCCATCTATTATTAGTTAATGCTGTTCACTGTTTTTAACATTTAATCCCCAATCTTAAG